CTAAAGATAAAGCGAGACCAATGCAGTATATTTCTATCTTACCTGGAGTCTATTCAGTCTGACAAATTCAAATTAGTTCTGTGCTATAAGACATTTTTTCTTAAGAAAGGCAGGTTTGGTGCTGGAGAGATCAGGTACAGTTCTTGCAGAGGACCTGTGTTCAGTTCCCAGCATACACACTGGGCAACTCACAAGTGTCTGTAATTCCAGTTGCAAAGAATCCTACACCTTCCTCTGGCCTCACATGCACAGATACCTCCCATCCACACACACATACACATACACATAATAAAAATAAAAATAAAACTGTTTTGTTTTTTTGATACAGGGTTTCTCTGTGTAGCCTTAGCTGTCCTTAGCTGTTACTGACTGTCCTGGAACTTGCTCTGTAGACCAGACTGGCCTCGAACTCACAGAGATGCACCTGCCTCTGCCTCCCAAGTACTGAGATTGAATGTGTGCACCACCACCGCTCAGCTATTGAAACGATTTTTAAGACAAACTTTATGACGACATCCAATGCACTTTGAAATGTTCAAAACTGATGGATTTTTTTTCATGAGCAGTCTATGTCTATATGTAAATGCAAAGGGCCTGGTTAGCTGGTAAACACTCTACCAAGACAATCTCTATTGAAGGTAGGGTTTAAATGAGTTCACCAGACCCAAGATAAATGATAAATATGTGTTTTATTAGGGAAGAACTTACACAGATAAGAGTAAATAACCACCGCCATCTTCCTGCTCCAGAAGATACAGTCTTTGCCCTTCCAGTGCTCTCTGAGACCCAAGAGAGCACATGTCTGCACCTGAAACCACACCCAAAGGATGTGGTCACTACCACAAGTTCACTGGCAAGGCAAGATGCCCCTACAATTCCCCTTTTAGAAGGTTTTAAGCCTGATACAAAAACTATATATAATGATAACAAATATTAAGTATATTCCAGGAGAAAGAAATACACAAATTAAGACCTACAACCAGCAAGAGCAACATTGAGCAATAGACATTCTACAAAAGCTTAAAAGGGGACTCTAAAAACAAAAGAACAAAGTCAAGCACAGCTTCTTGGTAGCAGCATTTTCTCAGGTGGGCTCTGTTTGCTAGAGATAAGCAGAGGTTCGAGGATCATTTAAGAAAGTGTTCCTGACTCAGCATTAGTGGCAAAAGAAACCCTGCACTTTCAAGAGGCTCTGATGCCAAATCATTGAATGGTAGCAGCAGTGACCACATCTCCAAGCTGCACAGCATGGTGCACGGCAGATTTAGCTTTCACTTATACAGACAAAAAGATTTAAGAGTTGAGGTGGTGAGCACAGCTCCCAGTGCTGGTGCTAAACATACCGCGCCCCCCTCCACCCCGCCTCTTCCCCACCATGTTGGAAAGCCAGCAGCTAAAACGTCTACTTTAATTTTAACCAAGCTATTTAGCAGATAAAAGACTCATGGTCAGAAAAAGATAGAGATATACAATAAAGACAGATTCAGATGAAGAAAAACCTCTAAAGGGTTTACAATGTGTTTAAAAATATACATAGTCTTGGGAGAGAAAATAAAAATGATAAAATGGCTAAAAAAGAAAGAGTAGCTGGGTGTGGTGGCACATACCTTTAATCCCAGCACTTGGGAGGCAGAGGCAAGCAAATATCTGTGATTTCAAGGCCAGCCTGGTCTACAGGATGCATTCCAAAATAGGCAAAAGTTCACAGATAAACGCTGTCTCAAAAAAGGAAAAAATAAAAACTAAAGAAATAGAATTTAAAAATGCCACATAAAGATGGAAAACACACCAAGTCTGGATACTTCATATTATCATGTTTTCTATCATGTTGTTTGCTGAGGAAAGACCAACTATTGCTAATAGACATTTGCTTATAAATGCTATAGGATTAATCCAGCTTATATATTTTAAAAATTCCTTGACTTCAAAATTTAAGTCTAGCCGGGCGTTGGTGGCGTACGCCTTTAATCCCAGCACTCGGGAGGCAGAAGCAGGTGGATCTCTGTAAATTCGAGACCAGTCTGGACTACCAAGCGAGTTCCAGGACAGCCTCCAAAGCCACAGAGAAACCCTGTCTCAAAAAAACCAAAAAAAAATTTAAGTCTAAGGACAGGTTACTTTGGAAAATAAGTTCTGCTTTTGTTTCCACAGAAAATAAAAAGCAGTGGATTCCTTCCAAACTAATATTGTTTAATCAACCCAGACCCCCTGAAGCAGTGGCCCAGGTGATCCGACATCTAAAACATCTAAGACAATGCAGCCACAGACTACTACAGTCAGGATTTGGCCAGGATCCACATGGTATTCACAGTGCCGCCAAACAGCAGGAAGCATTTTGGAGAGAATGATGCCCAAATTCCGAAATATTGTTTAAAATTTTTTTCAGTTAATTGAGGTTAGTTAAAATGGTTAATGATCACAATCAATCTCTTTCTAAAGGAAAAAAGGGGAAATATGATGTAGAAATGAATACTTTGTATTGGTATGGATTTTGATTTATTGATACAAATTCAAGGTCAATTTGTTATAGGTATATTTCTTCTCTTGTTTAGATACTGTGTTTATACAGCACATTTAAAAATGTGATGTATAATTAAAAACAGATTTTATATATATAGTCACCTACAATAGTAAAAACTTATATTTATGTTAGATTTTCTAGATGTACAGAGATATATTTGAGATAGATAGTTTTCAAACCTTTCAAAGACCTTCAGAATATGGCATTTAAAATGGTTTACGGTTTTTCATGACAGTGAGATACAACTACTCCTGGCAACACCAATTATCTCAGAAAGGAAGATGGGCATTGGAGAAACTTGTTATGGAGTTTGCCTTTGACATGGCAGAAATAGCCATTTGGACAAGAAACTTCTCTTGCCTGGACTATTTGAATGTATGCTGTATAAACTAGACATGCAGGACCCACAGGAAAGTGACTGCTGAACTTGAAAAAACAAGATGGGACAGTCCTTCAGGGTCCCTGCTTCATGGAAGAGTCTGCCAGACATTCTGCAGGACACAAAAAAATTGGCAAACTGTCAATGCAAATGGACAGTTTAAAATTTCCTGCTTTGCTGAGAAGTCTGCCAGACTGCAGGCTGAAGATGGATTCCCCAACATTACAAAAGAACTTCAGGTGATTGTCCAGGCAGTGGGATGTCTCTGTCAATTCTAAGGTTTATATATTATTCTTCTGAGGTCTTTGATACAGATGAAGACAAATAGTTATGGTTATGTTTTTCCTTAGTTATGATAAAAGATAAGATACATATAAAACTTTAGACTCAAAAAGATAGGATAGAGGATAGAACATTTTCTTTAAAATTTGCCAAATGTTAATGGGCTAAGTATTGTTAACTATAGTTTTTTCTAGATAACTGTTTTGTTATATATAATTTTACTATTATAAAGTTAAAAACCTTTCTTTTTATTTAGACAAAAAAAAGAGATGATGGAGGATGGCCTTCTATATGTATGTTTCGATTAGTGGTTGATGAATAAAACACTGTTTGGCCAATAGAGGCAGGAAGATAGGTGGAACTAGGAGATGAGGAGAATTCTGGGGAAGGTAGGCAGAGAGACCTCGAGGAAATACCATGTAGCCGTCAAAGGAGTAACAGATCCAGACCCTTCTCCCAATAAGATAAGACCACGTGGAAATACATAGATTTGTAGAAACGGGTTAATAATTAAGACAGAGCTAGCCAATAAGAAGCCCTGATATCGGCCAACAGATCAATAATAATCATATGTTTTGTCGGGGCTGAGAAGGTTGGCAGGACCTGGTGGGACAAGAAATTCCAGTTACAGTAATACCTCCCTTAATTAAACTTATAATAGCTAGTTGAGACAAGCCTAAGTTAAAAATCAAGCTTTCATAATAAATAATAAATCTCTAAGTCATTATTTTCTGGCTGGTGGTCCAAAGATAGTCCAACAAGAAAGCTTGCTACACAACTTTTATAGATACACAATAGAAAAGAAAAATCTCCCAAAATTTGTATTGGAACAGAAAGAAAGATCTTTGGCTCAGCAGCTAAGAATGCTTACTGTTCTTGTAGAAGATCCAAGTTTAGTTCCTAGCACCCACATGGTGGCTCACACCCTTCTCTAACTCCAGTTCCAGGAGATCTGGTTTCTGACCTCCTTGAACTCCTGCATGCATTTGGTGTATATATATGCACTCAAGCATACACACATACACAGAAAAATAAATGTTTTTAAAATCTCAATGTACCATAGGAACATTTCATTTTCTTTTCAATATACATTCGTGATTGCTGTTTGTTATTTTGTTTAATTTCCCTTTAAAAATTTATATCTATTAAGAAGAAGCAGTAGTATGCCTCACAGATTTTAAGTATCTGAGAATTAAATTGCTGACAGAAGACAAAAATGGAAAATAGTCCTATATTTGTGTATCTATTAGTCTGTTAATTATACTAGCTGTTGGTATTATTTGTTCTTACTGCTTTGTTTAGATAATAGCAGTTATATAACAGAAGGCTAAATTAAAGAATTAAAATGAACATTGATTTTTCAATTAATAATACTATATGTAATTACTTCTTACATGTTATCTTATGCATTTTTCTACACAGTACAATTGTGATCTGTGTTGTCTTTCTAAAGGCTAATCACCCTAGTAGTATAATAAAGTACATTGGGAAAAGATAATAGAAACAAGGTACTACTTGTATATTGCATAGACAAGTTTTTAAAGCAAAACTTCAGAGGTTAAACAGTGCCTTTTCTTTTTCTAAGTGTTATATACTATGTACAAAGTACTCATTTATTAGTTTCTACTTATTTTGAAAGAGTAATCATTGTTAGTTTTGAACAGTGGTCAACTGTTCTAAGCGTGGGGAAAAGACACTACAGAACAAGGTTCCCAATAGAAATAATGTGTTGCTAAGGGGGGCGTGGGGGGCGGAGAAACACTAGTGTGTGCGTGTGGACGCATGCGTGCATGCGCATGCGTGAATACGCACTACGTGCCATCAAAGATCAAAATGGCTGAGCAGAGGTCGGTTGATTTTGACGAGATCGTCGCGGTGCCTGATGAGGTAAACTGCTCTACCCAAATGAAAGGTTTTAAAAGTCCCTAAAGTTTAATGTGTGTGGGCGGGGGAGTACTATCGGAGAATTTTAAGTAAAACAGTTTTTGTTGTAGCTAAGAATTCCCTTCAGTTGTGAGGAAGTGAAGGGGCCTTATTCAGGAGGCCTAGTTCAAATTCCGCACGCAGTCGGTGTAAAGATGTTTCTTACCATCACGGTTCTGAAACTAAATACCAAATCACGATGAGATGTGATGTAATTTTGTGAGGTCGCCATGATAGGACTTATTCCTAGTTAAGGGGCTAAAGGAAAGATACAGTGTTGTTTCCTGCTCATGTCTCATCGAGGTGTCATGGCAACCATTTCAAATGCGGAAGATAGAACAGTCGATCCATGTTTGAACAGGATTCTCTGACACCTTTAAAAGCTGATGTCTTTAATTCTGGGGGTCGGGAGAGTAGGTGCCATGGCATGAATGTCATGGTGCTCAAGCCCAGGGTCATTTTGTAGAGGAGGTCAGGTCGTCAAATATGTCTCATGGGAAGAGCCTTTGCCCGCTACGGTCTCTCTTTGCTGGTCCCTATGCCTAAACGTATTCTGAGAAACGTGGGACTGGGAAATTTGGGAGGCAAGAAAGAGCCCAATTTGGACCTTAGTGGAGTGAACTGTTCAATCTGTGAGAAGGGTAGAGGAAAGAAAGTGCTTATGTAGGCTCGGCCAAAGCCCTATTTCAATGATCCTCAACCTTCGTAAGGCTGTGACCCTTTAATGCAGTTGCCCATGTTGTGGTGATTATTAAACTTACTAAATAGTATTAAAATTTTAATTATATATTATATATAATTATTTGCATTTTATATATATTTACACGTTAAATATAATATTTAACTATATTAAATGTTCAAATTATTAAACTTAAATTATTAATTAAATTGAATCTCCATAAAATTATTTCATTACAACTTCATAGCTGTAGTTTTGCTACTGGTATGAATCGTAATGTAAATATTCGATATTTACAGGTTGAGAAACGCTGGTCTGTTGGGTAGGGTTGTCAGATTTAGAACAGAGAGAGATTTCAGAATGCCTAGTTAAATTTGAATTTCAGCTAAGCAGCAAGTAATTTTGTAGTATCAATATGGCCCGGGTAAATGTGGTAATACACTTACAAAAATGTATTCATTGTTAACGTGATATGCAAAGGTGTCGTTGCATTTGTCCATGCCATGTTCGCCCTAAGACAGGTGGAGAAAGGGCCTCTGCGGGAATTCCAGGAAATTGAAAGGACCGGTGGTCATTAAGGGGTGTGAGGATGGTCCGAGCAGAGCTAGAGATGGGTGGCGCACAGTCACTGAACCTTACCAGGGCGACTTCTCTGCATCTCTGCATCTCAGAGCCTGCAGCTGCGCGGGCCTGGGGTAGCCGCGCCCACACAGGTGGGGCCTAGCGGCTGGGAACCCGCCCAGGCCCGCGAGCTGCAGGCTAGGCCCGCCTTCCATCCCCCACAGGGGTGGAGCCTGGGCGAGGAGGAATCAGCCTGCAGCTCTCTCTGCCCGACTGAGGAGTCGCAGGAGAAAATGGAGCCTAGCAAGATGGCGCCTTCCAAGAACGCTCCTAGAGATGCCTTGGTAAGCGGGACGGGAACGAAGCCCGGCGCACTCGGAGGTGCCCTGTGTGGCAGACCAGACTGAGCGCCTGGCGGGGAGAGAGGGGGTCGCGTGCCATTTACAGCTGGGCGACGGGGCTGGGAAAGGGCAGTGGGGTTCACTGGTCCCTGGGGCGCCATCCACGCTCCGGGGAGCCCCTCCACAGGGGCGCGGGCTGCCTGGGGGCTTTCGTCTCGCTGACTCCGGGCAGCTCCCGGCCCCTCAAGTCTGAAGCCTCCTAGCTTCACCCACTCTACGAGCCCTGACTGCGACATAGGTTCTGATGCTTCCCTCACTGTCACATCCGAAAATGACAGCCAGCTGGACCCGCCCCTACCTCTGCCTGGAAAGCTGGTCCAGGCCTTTCTTGTGTCTTTACTCCCATCCTTACTAAAATAAAAGTTTTCACTAAGACCATATGACTGATTTTGTATGTGGAGAAGGCGCAAGGAGGGGAACTTTGGGATTTTGTAGCAAACATAAAAATATGCCACATTGTGTATCTGCTTCTTTGTTTTTATTTGAATCCACAGGTGATGGCACAGATCCTGAAGGATATGGGAATCACGGAGTATGAGCCAAGGGTTATAAATCAAATGTTGGAATTTGCTTTCCGTAAGTTAAAAAAAATTGACTGTGAATTAGAAAGGATCATTTATTGTAGCACTTTAAACCAAATTATTACTAATCGAGAAATGAGTAAAGCACTAAGAAGGAGCTCAAGTTAAGGGACATTAGTATTTATATATAGCATGTCTGTTTAAATAAAGTATCGTGCCGGGCATTGGTGGCGCACGCCTTTAATCCCAGCACTCGGGAGGCAGAGGCAGGCGGATCTCTGTGAGTTCGAGGCCAGCCTGGTCTACAGATCTAGTTCCAGGACAGCCTCCAAAGCTACACAGGGAAACCCTGTCTCGAAAAATCAAAAAAATAATAAATAAATAAATAAATAAATAAAGTATCGTGTGACTAGGATAATTACTTATTAAAACCAAGTCTTAAATGTTCCACAAATTAGTGGGACCTTTTAAAACAAGGAGCCATAAATACTAAGATTCTTGTCTTTAAAATAATGTATATATTGTCAGCCGGGCGGTGGTGGTGCACGCCTTTAATCCCAGCACTCGGGAGGCAGAGGCAGGCGGATCTCTGTGAGTTCAAGCCTGGGCTGGACCAACAGCCTCGAAAGCAATACAGAGAAACCCTGTCTCGTAAAAACCAAAAAAAAAAAAAGAAAGAAATGTATATATTGTCTTCATTCATGTAATAAAAAATTACTTTGTTCTTAAAGGATATGTGACCACAATTCTGGATGATGCTAAAGTTTATTCAAGTCATGCTAAGAAAGCTACTGTTGATGCAGATGATGTGCGATTGGCAATCCAGTGTCGGGCTGACCAGTCTTTCACCTCTCCTCCCCCGAGAGATGTGAGCAAACATCTATTTGCAGTTATTTTCACTTACACTTAAAAAACTCTATTTCTAATAAGGATTTTTCTTTTAGTTTTTACTAGATATTGCAAGGCAGAAAAACCAGACTCCTTTGCCACTGATTAAGCCATATGCAGGACCTAGACTGCCACCTGATAGATACTGCCTCACAGCTCCAAACTATAGGCTGAAGTCCTTAATTAAAAAGGTAAGAATGTCTGCATTGTTCCTGGAATCCCAGGCAGGAAGATCAGGATATCAAGGCCATCCTTATCTCTTCAGGGCAATCCTGAGCTAAGTCAATCTCTTATCTCAAAAAAAGGAAGTTTCAGTTTATATCTTGTAAAAGGTGGAATAGGTAAACTTATAAAAATCAAACTTCCTGTAGATAGCATAGTAAAGGTTAAAATGATCCTTAGATTTTTTTTTAATTTTCAGAGCTAGAAAGAACTTTCTTAATTCATCTAACCCAGTGGGTTTTTTCTCGTCATACAACTGAACTCATGGAGACAGTGGCAAAGCTAGGACTGATTCCCAGATCTAGTAGCTCAGTCTTTGAACTTTACCACAGTGTGTGTGTGTGTGAGAGAGAGAGAGAGAGAGAGAGAGAGAGAGAGAGAGAGAGAGAGAGAGAGAGAGAGAGAGAGATGTAATAATGAGGTAAATTGCAAGGCGTTGGTGGTGCACGCCTTTAATCCCAGCACTCGGGAGGCAGAGGCAGGCGGATCTCTGTGAGTTTGAGGCCAGCCTGGTCTACAGAGCGAGTTCCAGGACAGCCTACAAAACAATACAGAGAAACCTTGTCTCAAAAAACCAAAAAAAATAATAATAATGAGGTAAATTGCCATCGGCAGTTAGACCTTTGTCAGACATATGACCTAAGGCTTTCAGCACTGAGAAAGGAACTCTCCACACCTTTGAAACACTGCTGTGAGACAGTTTTCATTTTGGCACAGTAAGATACTAAGTTAGCCTTTGTCTTCATAAGACTCTACCTTAAATACTCTACAGAATTAGATAGGGTCATAACTCTGTATGTATGTAAAAACTCCAAATATTGGATTTAAGACACAGTTCAATCCTCAGTAGCATCACAAAAAGAAAATGAAAACAGACATTTTACATTGGATCATCTGCTAATAACTCACATCAAGCGATACTTTCACTCTTCATCAAATTTAGGGTGACAAATCTTAACATTAAAACTAACTTTGTTTAAATCCCCTAGGGACCTAACCAAGGAAGACTTGTTCCTAGATTAAGTGTTGGTGCCGTCAGTAGCAGACCTACTACTCCCACTGTCGGTAAGTGAAACAGGGAACTGGCCTTTCTGGATAGTAAAAACAGCGTCTCAGCATTTGCTTTTGAACCATAACCCAAGTCAAAATGGGAGTCAGAAACTCCAGTATGTTGCCATTGATAATCTTACTTATGAATGAAAACAAAAAAACAAAAAAACCACAAAGACTGATCGATCCCAAATGGCATTGGCCCAACTCTTGTTGGTATAAACTGTGATTCTAGAAATATTCCCACCTTCTATTCTTCAAGTCACCAAGCACACCCATGCCGGCTACCTACTTAATCAAAACTTAAGGAAATGTTTTTATAAACTGAGTACAGGTTCAAAGAAGTTTAAAATCTACAGAAAGCTCAAGGATCTTAAAAATAGGTTTTAATACTTACCTTTTAAAAACAGTACAAGGATCATCCTGGGTGACATAGAAAGACCCCATTTCAAAAAAGAAAATGATGGTAATTATCCTATACTCATCAGTGAAGAGCCCTCAAGCTGTGTTCTATAACATATTTATTAGGTCTCCATCATACTGTATTCATTTCTGACATATAATGGTCCAAGCCTGTCTTATATTCTTTTCCAGCTTTTGGAATCAACCACTTCTCCAAAGACCCTTAGTTCTTTTTAGTGAATGGAGTTTAGGAACCATTATTTGTAACAACTTAAATTTTTTCTGATATTTTTCATGTTTTCTGACTTTTTTCATGTTTTGCAGGGGAAAAATCCTCCTCTTTTGTATGGCTCTTGCTGATTTTAACTTGAGTCTTTTCCAGTGTCATTACACTTCTAGTATAAGAATGATTAATTTTTTTACAACTCTGTCTTAATCTGTAATGCAGGATAGCCTTAAAAGTCGTTATCCTCCAGCCTTGTGAGCATTCAGGTTACAGTTGAGGAATACTGCCTACCTAGCATTTGACCTTAGAGGTGTGAACCATCTCTGTAGTCTTAGTATATACAGTTACACGTCAGCATTTTAAAACTGTTGTTTAGTGTCTAGCTCCAATACCCTGCACATAACTTCAGGTGAGCAGACATTTGCATATAAAATCTGTGTAGCGTTTCAGTCATATACTACTAACCTGTTTATTCACATAAATTGAATATCAAATTTTTGCTTTCTTATTTTTTTGAAAGTTATTTCACTATGTAGCCCAGTCTTGTGTTGAACTTCTAAACTCTGTTCTGCCTGTCCCTGCCTCTTGACTAGCTGGACTACAGGCACGTAAACAAACGTCAGTTACCAGTTGCCTTTTACATTATTAGCCATTTGTTCAACATCCTTTAGCCTGTAACACCTAGAATATAAATCTTGATTCAAAAATTCTCTTACAAGATGTAATCTTTAAAATTAAGCAAACTTATACTTTTCTTTTTTAGCACAGTAAACACACTAAAGTGAAGGAAAAAACTCCCAAGAGTGAGAGGGATTGTATAAGAATACCCGTTGTAATTTTTTAAATTACTCTGCCCTCCTTTCGACTGACATTCTCTCATCTCCCATCAGCCCTCTCTACTTTGAAGGTGTATTCCTGTAAGCTATGGAGTATAGAATAAAAATATATAAGTCATCTAACTGATATGATCTGTTCATTGTAACTACAGCACCCCCACAAGCAGTATCTGTCCCAAATAAAGTTCCAGCTCCAGTGTCAGTGACAAGCCAAAGATTTGCAGTGCAGATTCCACCTTCTCAGTCCACACCTGCCAAACCAGGTAACGGGATATGGAAGCAGGGACAGAAGTCATGAACAATTCTCAATTATACAGTCTGTGTTACTGTAGGAAGACTCTTGCTTTAGTGTCACAACAAAAAGGTGACAGGTAGCACTGCTGCAAATGAGGGCTCGTCAAACAAGATCTCCACCATTAGGGGAAGATTTACATATATGTAACATTTCAGGAGGGTGGCATGTTGAGCATGCTCATCAAATTCTAAAAATACCATAAACTAAAAGAAATTGGAGTTCACAGATCTAAGGTGTCCAGGGAAAAGCACTTTGAGTAAAAACTGAAGAAAATGCTACCATTTAGTGAAGAATGTGCATGATCCCATTGTTAATGTGAATGAAAATGTGCCTTTATTCACTTCATAGGTGGCAGCTGTGATTGGCATAATGTAAACAGACTGCTGACATACCAATTTACTTTTGTGTGTGTTTAGATTGCATATTTTCTAAAACTATCTCCATACAAGAAACAACTCAGATAAAAGTTGGGCCAGCAAGATGGCTCCGTGGGTAAGGGCATTTATCACCAAGCCTGACGGCCTGGGTTCAATCCCCAGGACCCACATGGTGTAAAAAGGAAAGTGCCCCCCTAAGTTGTCCTCCAACTTTTACATGTGTTCCATGGTATACACACACACCTGCAGACATACACAGAGAAGTAACTAAGTGCAATTATTTTGAAAAATGCCCTACAAAAAAGCATGTCTCCAGGCTTACACATGAATCTAGTGCACTGAATGCTAATTACAAATTCAGGTAATTAAAAATAAAACAACATTTAGTTAACTTTGCAATGACTAGGTTTAGGAACACTTATCTATACATAGATCCAAACGTTCTTAATACCTGATGAATATCACTATTAGCAAATTAAGCTAAAAATGTTTTAAGATTGAATCCCACTTAGTAACTACTTGTATCTCTTCTGCTAGTGAAACTTGCATAAAATTACATTCTCCTTTGTTGTCTACTTTTGGATTATGGGTAATTGATCTGTGGGGGTTTTCTTCTGTTTATAGCTCCTGCGACGACTACAGTCCAAAATGTTCTGATTAATCCTTCAATGATTGGGTCCAAAAATATTCTCATTACCACCAACATGGTTTCCTCACAGAACACAGCCAATGACTCAAACCCGCTGAAGAGAAAGCATGATGATGATGATGATGAAGATGAAGAAGAAGATGATGATGATACTATGTAAGGAATAAAGTCTGTTCTACATACATTAAAATCTTAGTGCGCATGGGTCCATATGGTAGACCCAACAACCTAAGTCTTCATAAGTTTTATCTTAGAAATGTAGTGGCGATATTTTTCATATTAGTTACACCTGGTAAGTTTTATGAGTACAAATGTTTCCTCAGTAGGCTTCAGATATACAAGTACTTGTCTCTAGACTGCTTCATTAATGTTGAGTATCACCATGGAAATTCTATTTTTAGAAGCAGTTTTGTGCCATGTCACTGACAGCAGCACTTGGATTGCAGTTCCTGGTCTCATTTACATCTAAAGATGACCTTTTGTTAGACGAACTGTTCACATTGTCATTTCAGACCAAATCTCTCAATTTAGTAAACTTTTTTTTTGAAACAGTGGATTTAGAAGGGGGCTAAATCCATTTTGAATGTATTTGGGTTTTGGTCTAACTCCCCACCTCAGCTCCCTATCCAGATCCCATTTGTTTTCTGTCCCAATCTCTCATCGCTTACCATTGCACTTAAATTGAAATGTAAAACTGTAACTGGAATTTGTAAGATACCATATATGCCTGGCAATCTGTAGTTCACTTCAACCTGAGTGTCTGCATTTGCTCTTTTGCACTCCATAACAAAGCAGTTGGGTCTCGGCCCTTGCCGTTCATGCCTGTTAAGCTTTACTCATTGACAGGCAGTTTCAGATCAGTTACATTCAGTTGACAGCTTTACCATCCTTCATGTTTATAATTTAACAGACACATCATAATGTAAAAGCTGCCTTGGTAAGCAATTTACACTGGACCTAGACAAACCACTGAAGAGTGTCTTTGCATATGCTTTGGTCACTACTGCTTGAACCAGTCCATGGTTTCAATCAGATCATCTGTCTAGCTTTCTGCTGAGGATGACACACATAAGATGGGATCAAGCCTGAAAGTGGATTCCAATGATTGTCCTTCCCCATCAGGCCAACAGGGAAAACAATTAGTCTCACCTGACTGCATTACACATGCCCTACAGAAATTACCCAACCATTGTTGTAAACACTATTTTGTTTTTATGCATACCTACAAGACTCACTGGGAAACACTGCAAAGCTTTCTTCAGAGCATACAAAGACCTATTGGGTCATTTAAGTTCCACATAGCCAACACTGGGAAAATGTAAGCAGAACTTTCCAAAACTATAGCTATGGGTCATCAAAAGTATCAGCATAGGATGGTGTTTCACACATGAAAAGTAGTATAGTAACAAGACAGAAATGTCCGTTTGAATGTTTAGGAATGTTAGGGAAAGTTGATCTGACCAATAAGAGAAATGTGCATTATGTAACAGAGATGTCACTACTTGAATGTTCTCAGGGAGGCAGAATATTAGGCGGCCTAGGTTCTAGTACTAGTTTCATTAGCAACCATGTGACCTTATTTTACCTCTGAGCCTTGTCCTCACTAGTAATAGGGAAATAACACCTACCCTGCCTACCTCACAGGGATGTTGTGAGGGTTTAGCTAGTGTGTGACTATGTGTGTGAGAAAGTTCAAGATTGTAAAAGCTGTAAGTAAATATTAATGTATTTGTTCCAAGGTTATTAATAAAAAAGTTAACTTTATCAGTGACATTTCATTACTGACTGAAGAGATTAAGGAAAGTGAATAAGGCAACAATATAGCAATTCAGATCTTCTGAAGTAGCATCAGGGGACATTTCACTGGGAATTGGCATTTGACTCATGGTAAAGAAACCAGTGGCAATCAAGATGGGTTTAAATCTTAGAAACTGAAGATGCTCTTTGGGATGTGTATAGAGCTATGAAGTAAACTAAAACTGGTCTTAGGAAGTGCTTCTTGTGAGGGAAGCCAGTAGACAAGTAGGAAAGGGACTTCTCACCATACATCCATCCTTTCTGATTACATGGAATCAAAATTGGGTATTGGAAAAGCAGGAAACAAATGAGCTAATGATTAAATTTAAGCTAGGAGTGGTGATGCATACCTACAATTCCAGCACTCAGGATGCTCTGGCTGGATCAGGATCAGTAAGTTTGAGGCTAGTCTGAACACTGTAAAAATCTTGTCATTACACAGCTCACCAAAAAAAATTGAATTACTCTTTATAGCATGGGAGTTATTGTGGACATATTGCCAGGCATGGTGATACATTCAAAAAATTCAGCCCTAAGGGCAAAGGTAGGAGGATCACTGGAAGTTCAAGGTCAGCCTGAGTTAGATAAATCCCAGCCAGCCAGGGCTAGTAAGCTCAAGGTAAAGTGAGAGACAATTAACTGTCAAAAAGAACAGTAAACTGAGAAAGAGGGGAAACAAGGGTTTCTAAGGTGAAAGGAACACCCCCCCCCCAGAGAGATACAATAAACCTAGGGCACCCAGTAAAACTGGAGCAGAGGCACCATGGATTCAAGCACAAAACTTTTTAAACTATCTGATGTGTTTACATAGACTTAATGTTCACATGAGCCTTGGTTGGTGTGGATCTCGGTATGTCTTAGGATCAAAGACATGTGTGTCATCATGCCCAGAAATTGTTAATTGTAAAGAAAATTAAAATGACAAAAATATAGCATACTATATGCTTATGTAAATGGCATTTATACTCATAATGTAAACCTTAGAGCTTGAGACTGGCCTCACTATGTAGCCAAGGATGATCTTGAAGTTCTGTCCTGTCTTCACTACAAGCAAACACTATGCAGACTCCTCATAATGTAAATTTCTGATCTAATTGATAGCAATGGCAAAATACTGAGAATGAAGACATGTATGCGGGACAGAGGCTGTTGGTTTCATTGTTCAAGCTATGGAATTAATAGACATGTTTGAAAAGCTCAGTACTTAGAGCCATGAACTTGGAATTAAGAAGAAAAACTAGGGAATGTGAGTCAAGAATGGGAAAAATGAACTGGGGCTTGTTTTAGTTGCTTTTCTGTTTATATATCTTGTCATTGAAAAATTACACTACCTAGCTGGACTGTGATAGCACACGCCTTTAATCCCAGCACTTGCCAGGCAGAGGCCAGTGAATCTGTGAGTTCGAAGCCAGCCTGATCTACAGAGCTAGTTCCAGGACAGCTAGGGCTGTTATGCAGAGAAACCCTGTCTCAAAAAGCCCCCAAAAAGGAAAAGTTACAGTATCTAACTATAAAACATTTGTAATAAAGCATGAATAAGCTTTCACTACAGGATAGTCATTTATCTAATCCCACCTCCCCACTACTACAGCCCCAATCTTTCCTTTCAAAATGTAGATAGATAATTGATGCCATCAAGATTCTATTCTCGCTGGGCAGTGCTGTGGTGAACGCCTTTAATCCCTCGGGAAGCAGCGCTTGGGAAGCAGAGTGAGTCGAGGCCAGGGTGGTCTACAAAGCTTCACATAGAAACCGTGCCTCAAAAAACAAAAAAGTATTGTATTCTCACCCTTCCTAACAAAGTATGACAGGAAAACTCCAGTTTCAGTGGACATCTTTATTAATAGAGCATCAACTTCTCCAAACCTACAGCTGGTATTTTGTCTTTTTTTCCATGCTGCATCATGAACAGTGACAAAGCTAACCAGAGGCTACTCAAAGAGAACTAAGCTCTTATAGCTCACTTTCTTTTACAGGCAGAATATAAATAGATGTACTCTAAAATGCACTTAGCCACTAAGGGATTTAAATGGGATCTTGAAGAATGTAGACAAATCCCGATGCAGTAAAGATGAGCTGAGATGCTGCGCAACTGTTTAAGGGTTCCTGGTGCTGCATCTCCGCCACTAGCTGAATCTTTTGCTAACACCAAATGGAGATGCAGAAAACACACTAAGTTGACTTAGGAGCTGTGCACAGGAACCAAAAGGCAGGAAAATACTAAACATTGCTGAGAGCATCCACCCCAGGAAGGACTTTACCTGTTTTTGAGAGAGCACACACACAGAGAGCATTACTGTAAGACCCACTAAGCTACATCTGCCCCTTTGTCTTACTAATAAAATGTCAACTGTTAGGTTACAGGACAAGAGTCCCAAACTCCTGCAATCCCGGTCCCAGGTTAATTAAAACGTGTTCCTACCTACCCCTCCCGCCAAGTGGGTTGCAGGTGCTTTGCTTGTGCTGTGTAGCTAGTCTGATTGCTAGTGACAGAACTGGCCAAAGTTCTCCACTCTGTTCCCCACCCTGCCTCTAATAAACCAAAACACAGAATAACCTCACCTTCCAGGAGCTCTAGACTGGCACCACCCCCAGTGCTGACATGGCTGACTTTGTCCTCTGTATTCCATTTGGCACAGCAAGTGGCAGTGTCTCCACCACCTGTTGAATGAAGACCAGAGAAAAAATGTTAGCACCCAAACCTAAATGTAGCTAATGAACTCCCCACTCCACCTTGACAGGATACCCTAAGAATGATACCTCCATGAACTAACAGATTTTCCCGAGAGCCTAGAGACCCAGAAAATAGCACCTACCCCACCCCCTTGCCTCCCCTGAATCCTGCTCTGCCATGTTGTACTAGATTAGGACAGGACTCCTTACCTATGATAGTGATGCAACCCCTAGAAGTGGCTTTTACCACCTCATCCATGAGGGACTTGGTTCCCCTTGCAAAAGCTTCCCATTCAAAAACCCCGACTGGTCCATTCCAAACAATCTGCTTAGCTCGAGCCACAGCCTCAGCGTATTTCTTGCTGCTCTCAGTACCACAGTCTAAGCCCTGGAGGGTAGAAACAAGAGGATGAACTATTAGAAGAAATTTAGTAGGACCAAATATCACCTCCACCAAGACCATGTTAGGCTGAATGAACATCAAGAGTTTCTACTAGAATCAAAATGTATGTGTGTGTATGTGCCCATTGACAAGGGAAAACCTCATGCTGCTGAATGGCAGCCAAGGTCTAGCATCTCAACCCAGGTCAGTTCGGCCTATCAAATGACTATGTTACACCGTCTGGAGATATTTTTGGCTGTTACAAGTTGGGGTGAACATAACTGACACCTTGCAGCTAGTGATATGCCTTGCCACAGCTACAACTATGTGAGATGTCAACTGAGAAACACTGAACCACATCAGTTATGTTCAAACCTCCCATATCATAATCTCCATGAAGCTTTGCTCAAAAACCATGTTGAATCCCACTCCTAGAGTTTCTGATTTAGTAGGGCTGAATAATTTGCTTCCTTTTTGTTTTTATTTGTTGAGACAGGATATCACTATGTATACTTGACTGAGCTGCAATTTGCTATGTAGACCAGGCCAGCCTCAAACTCTCTACCCTTCCTTCCCTCCAGAGTACAAGGATTAAAGGTGAGTGCCACCGTGCCCAGTCTGTATGATTTATTTTCATTTTCATGCATGTGTATATATATATATATATATATATATATGCCACATGTATAAGAACACACTTTGAGAAATAATGTAATAGCAAAATGTCTAATGAAAGAAAATTTAAATAAGCAAACCAGCACATAAATGTGATATGATTTTATACAGTTATCAAACTATTGAAGGACACATTGATACTAGTACTTGGTAAGCAAGGTAGTATAAGTGTACTTTCATTATCTTACTGTTGTGAAGTTATTTTTTTGTTAATTTTTATTTAGTATGGTTGTTATTATGGGGAGCATGCACATGACATGTAGAAGTCAGGACATCTTTTGGAACTTCAGTTTAGGTTCCATAAATATAGCTCATCAGGCTTATGTAGCAAGCACTTTTAGCTACTGAGCCATCTCGCTGACCTGAAAGTTTGTTTACAATGGCTTGTAGTTAGCCATGTAACATTCAAAAAGTGGGTTTGAAGAAAAACCAAAAGAGAAAAAAGTGGGTTTGCCCTATTACTGATAAAACAGCAGCATTCTGATAGCCCAATGCAACATTTCCTGTCCTGGGTCCCATGGAAATTAATATAAAATGTTTGTTGGGGGAGGGGCCACAGCTCAGTGGCAGAGCATTTCTTAACATCTGTGAGACATTTAGCTGTATCTCCACTGCCACATCTGCTAGATGAATGCATGCTACCAAGTTTGTGATCACTTACAGAACACAGAACCACCAACCAATGGACTCACCATCCAGCCAGCAGGTATACCAGAGGCCACAGTAGCTTGGCCAGTCTTGGCATTCTCATCAAATTTGTCAGCAGTGACAAAGTCAACAGGCAAGGTAATCTTCACACCATTTTTCTCAGCTTTGGCCATGAGATCTTTGACAATCTTGGCCCCTTCTTCATCATACAGAGAAGTGCCAATCTACAGGAGAGCAAAGAAGATGAAGATCAGCTGTTAAATTAAGAACATGGCTGACTCAAAGGAGACAGGAGTTCAGCATTCGATAAATACAGGAACCAAAGACGAGCAACTTCACAGATGAAATGAAAATGTTTTTCGGATTCACATTAAATGCACATGAACTTCTATCGATACAGAGCTTCTTGCCTCTGGTTTCCTACCTCCATGTTGTTGAGCACCTTAAGGAAGGTAAAAGCCATTCCACCACCAATGATCATCTCATTGACTTTGTCCAGCATATTATTGATCAGCTGGATCTTGTCTGCAACTTTAGCTCTAGAAGGGAAAGCAAGAATCATCACCACAAGCACATATAATTGGTAAGT